TTCATATTTGTCCATATAGTTTTGATTTAAGTATATTATATATACTGTATCTTAAACATCAAAGTCAAAAAGAATGCATCATATTTATTCTTTAAAGGAAAATTAAACTCTAATGATGATCTGATGATTTTCTATTTAAATAATCAAGAAGTCAATAGTAGAGTTAGGGTTAGGGTTATCAAGATCAAGGACCATGTAAAAAAACAAAAAAAAGAAGATGTAAAAACACATCACAAAACATACTCATTCCTCATTTGCAGAATATTCGACCAAAACATTTCTTAATGAAATAGTCCTATCGTCAATCAAAAACTTAGCGATAATAGTGACGTTAGCATTGAAGCTAACGATACTGCCGAGCTATGGCCAAAGTTGCGAACATCCCACCCATTAGAAAACGTCCCCATAGAGTTTTGAGCACGATGCGATTCATTTATTTATCCAGTATGCCCCAAACTCCCGTGTTGCCCTCCCTCTCGCTGCCGTGTCCGACTTTCATGGGGGTATAGCAGGTGTGCAGCTGCTCCTGTTTCTGCTGCTGACTCCGTGAAGCCTCGGAGGTGAGTAGTGGGCTGCCGGTCTGCCAGGTGCGCCGAGCATATGCACAATCATACCAATCACAAATGCACTCGTCTCCACCAACTTATATAAAACCTGCTACCATATGTTTGTCAGAGGCAATGAAGATTCTCAAGCTCGGTAATTGCAAAGCACAGGTGCAGCTATATGTGTAATTGTCCAGGTTTAGAATCTGGCCAGAGGTCGGGTGATGGAGTAGGGAAATCCAAAAAGCACTGACCTTTTCTGTGAGCCGCTGTGGTGAGGCGAAAGAGCGAGCAGACGTGGAAGAGAGGGTGCTTTGTTTAAGGCAGCCATAGATTAAATTAGCTTCAACAAGATCCGATTCAAGTGGAAAGTATGCAAAAGTATGCCTTTAACGAGTGATGTTTTGTGTGATAGCAAACAACCTGGCACTTGGTTTAACTTATAATGAATATTTGAATAGTTTTCACTCTACCCGACTATGAAGAAGAAGATTTCCTTTATTGATCTCACAATGAAGAAATTTGGTTTGAATGCATGATTTTGACCAAGCAAGTTATATTGGATAATTTTCACGTGACACTGGTTGAAAAACACTGCCCTGCATCATACAATCCTTACAATCAAGTATATACGAGAATACAATAAAAACAATTTTCTCATTGTAGATTAATAGTTCAATGTTCGGTTGCAACTTTCCCACATCCATGTCCAATACAAAGTTGGATTCCTTTGGCCATCATCTTGTCCAATATAGAACATAAATATGCTCCTAAATAATGCACATGGAACATTTTAATGTCAAGGCTAAAAATGCTCTCTTTCCTCCCTTTTGTCTCGCTGCTGTGTGTGACATGTTTTATGCGTTTTATAATTACTTAGTGAATCTCGAGAGGACACACATGGGCTGGCCGTCATGGGGACGTTTGTCATCGATACATGTTCTGTGGGCTGGAACATGTAAGGGCATTTCAACGTATTCTGAAAATATACACTAATGGAAAACAATCAAATACCAGTATCTGGGCCAACATGAAAGCAGACCACACGCTGGTAAACGCAGTGCTTAAGGGAAGGGGAATAAACATACATCTTTTGAATATCTTTGTTAAAATACACAAGTATATAGCAGATAGGGACATGAAAGAAATTGTATGAAATTGTATGAAGCATCTTTTGAACTTTCTCTTATTCACATTCTCTCTCAGTCGTGCTATACCTGCCTTTCATTCTCTTATTCAGTTTCAGAGTATCAATTCTTCTCATTGTTACAAAGCAAATGGAAGCTGCTCAGAGCTATAGAAAACGCCTATTATTTGTGGGTAATGACATTCATAGGTACAGTGTGTCCCTGTTCTGTTGGTGTAATTACTTTCTTGATTGGCACTGTATGAAAAAGAGCAATTGTTTCACTGCCAATTGTTCTTTGTGAGAATGAAAAGTCGGCTTCTATTCACCAAAATTGAATATGGGTTTGGGTTGAGGCCCTTAAGTGGTTTCATATTCTATTGGTGGAAAATTGCTCACATCAAGCAGTGCTGGCATAATGTTTGAAAAATAGAGGTGCATATTTAGCTGCGAGCCAAAAGACAATGATAATTCCATTTACTTTTAAGTTTCATCACACAAAGCAATTTGGTTCAAGGGACATTCTGTAAATTTGCCATTTTAAATTATATCTATATCTTTTATTTGTGTCCCTTGATAATAGGTCAACATGAACAACTCATATTTGACCTTTTCTGAACTTTTCTAAAGTGGAGTCTAGATTAAATTCACAATGACATGGTATTGTGTGGAGGGCATAATGAAGCTATCAGTTTAAAATTTAGCTTGGTTGGGGTTTAGCTGCTCTTGTTTTATTGTTTGTTTTTAACAACAATATTCACACACACACATTTTACTGTTCCTCTGATTTTAATTGCGATTATTGTTATTTTTATTATAAAACATTGTGTTTATGATCAAGACACAACATGTTTATTGTGACAGGTAGCCATGACGAGACCCTACAGACAGTAGCCTGGTCGTACCACACCATAGTACAAATTACATTTCATACTAAGGTCTGGAGGTGCTCTATTGAGCTCCGTTTACAGGTGGGAGGGGTTAACTCCTTTTGCAGATTGAAACGATTGGATCTGAGTTTACTGTGACGTATGTAATGCGCCCGAGTGACTCGTTAGAATTTAGCATTTAGCCTAGCCATCTCCTTTGCCGCTAACGGAGCCCGTGGGGAGTAGCACCACAATTTTTGCCAGCACTTGATACACATTCCTCTTGCTCCGGCTTCAATTTCTTGATAGAACCAGACCGGAACACTTTGAACATTCTTCACCATTGCTACAACAAGCCCGTTCGACCAAAACTCTTGACGTCACCCACAACTAACTACACCCGCCTCCCGCGCTCGATAAGTGGTCGGTTGGAATTCAACCACTTGTAAAAGTTAACATGGGGACCAGAACCAGACGTTACATGCAGGGAAATGATAATTGAGCGGAGTGTACGGATGGCTAAGGCCAGGCTACACAGACAGGAGAGAGAGAAAAAATGACATGTTGGTTGTGTTTTCTTGGATTGATTGATTGATGTCTTAGATATGCTCACTCACCATCTCATTTCATACTGGGAAGTTTGTTAAAATATATCCAACCAATGTGTGTGTGTGTTTTTTGTTCTTTTTGTATTTTTTTTTTTCAAAATTTTTTGGGGGATAATTGTTAGGTCATTGGAATTTTTCCCACGTCATTTCACATTTGGTTTCATTATCTTGATGTAGCATGTTTTCCAGTTTCACTTTTGGCCGTGCACTCGATGTAAGAGCAGCTAATTGTGCCTCTTTATCCTGTTTGCACATAAATACAGGGCTTTGATAGATGCCGCTGCTTACGTCTCCTCTGTAATCTCTGGGTGCTCTGAGCAAAAATTAAAAATGCATCGCCCTGAGTGCTGTTGTTTTTTTATGCCTAAGCCTACATTTATCCACCTGAAATTAATTTTCTAATTTGTTGCAAGATAAACATGGAATCCTCCAAGTCCCAATCCACTTAAACCTCTCCTTCAATGCAGCACACATTACGTCTGAAGAACTTTGTCTCTATGGCTCCACCTTCTGCGCTGCCAATAAATATCGGCCTGGGCTAAGTGCGAAGTGTTGTGAAGAGTGATGATGTATGCTTCTCCTCCAAAACACACCGCAGAAATGTCAGTTGTTGATCCAGCTGCTGAGTTTATGGATGAGTGTAGCCAGTCTTGTCCAAGCTCCAAATGCAGATTACATTTCTTGTGTTTCCACATAACTGACTTGGCAAAATAGCTCGGCAAGTCACATAAGGATACGCAGTGGGATGGGAACCAGCTCTGTGGTGATTGTTGGTTGAGGGGCTTGCATCTCTATGTCACTGAAACAAGAGCAGTTCCATCTGGAGAGACTTGAACAGACAAAACATGGATATTATTAGAATTGTATATATATTATTTTGTTTGGAAAGTAATCTGACACTACATGAATCACACATTTGACTCTGAAGACAATATTCTAAAGATTACATTTATTGTTGCTGTACAGAAATGTGGTTAGGATTTGGCCGTGAGCAACAGTGGGAGGACTTTGAGCGCTGTGAGCTTAGAACTTCCTGTCTTCCAGTCTGAATATCCGCTTTGGCTTCATACTGCTGTGGAATCAGAAGATGGATTTTTTTATTCGTCGGTAATGATAGAATACTTGTTATAGGCCTGTTGTGGAATTTCTGTACAGCGTGGGAATAAATAATGAAAATAATGTGGATAACCAAATCAAAAAAAAAAATTAATTCCTAAAATGTGCACATATACAAGAAAAATACCACCCGGCAGTGCCCTCTGAGCCGTCTGCCCCAAATGAGGAAATCACAGGCCTATATAGCAACATGATTCTGTTGAGCTAAACAACTGAGCAAAGCATTGTGTACCCAGAAACACACATATACAACTGTCTAAGATAAGAGCTTCCATACAATATCCCCTTTTTCCTTTGAATTGGCCATCCCGACTTTATTAACTATTTTCATCTTCAATTGAATATCAGTAACTCCCATTTTTTGTTCCCCTTTGATCTCAAAGTAACAACACAGCTCATGAGGCCTGCTAGCATAACAAGTGGTATTTTTAAACATTGTGAAAACAACTATATTTTTGTTCAAATTGTTGATAAAAAAAAAAATCAGATGTACAGGCCAGACAACATGAAAGCATATATTTCTGCAATTCTGATTATTCAGCAGCCAGATACAGATATTTTGGCTCAAGAGAAAAAAAAAAATGTTCAATCCACATTTTTCAAAGAATAAAAGATGAAAGTAGAACACATGCCTGGAAAAAACCAGCAGTAAATGTAACTTAACCTTGTTCTATGTTTCTTTGTCTTTCAGGCCGGCGGGAGGAGACTGCCAGAAGAAATGCCGGTCCCAGGTGCCCTAGGACATTACACCCGGGACAATGGCGACTCTTTGGCCAATCAGAAAAGAGCGGCACACCCCCTGTGGTAGATGGTCGTCCTCCTTGATGCTGCTATGGTTGCCCTGGGTCTTGCTCTGGTTGCCCTGGCCTGGACGTGGAGCTGAGGTGGGAGAAAAAACCCTCTCATCATCGTCGTCATCTGGAGCCTCCAACCCCTCCAGCTCCACAGCCTGGGGGTTCAATGCCCGCCAGAGCAAGGGCCAACTGGACTGGCTGCTGTCGGAGAAGGGACCGTTCCACAGGTGCCCAGAGTACACAGAGTTCAGGGAGAGGTTCACCGGGGAATTCTCCACCAGATACAAGATATACAGGTCAGCAATCTCGATCTATCTTTTTTGGTTTGCTATTTTTTCTGATGAGCTGTTGGTTTGATTGTTGAAATAGCTCTAGTGTTGTTCTGGTTTAGGACATGGCTCATTTTGTATTTTGCACTAACATGCTCCTATGCTTTTATACCATAATTCAAAACCTTTTGTTTTGTGGTTGACTAAAATGTTGGGAATCAGATAATAATAGTCTAGGTTTGAAACTAAATGTAAACAGAGCAAATATTTATGGTCAGTTTTAGAATTATGTTAAACTCCTAAACTCGCATCAACCCTGGAGTTAACCTGAAATGTGCTCTATAATAGATTTTTGCCTAATTTTGTCCAATATTTTACTCTATTTGGCGCTATTGGTGGAAACTCTCCTAGCCGGGGTAGAGTAGAACCGAGAAGAGTAGCTACTCGGGCTGGTGGAAACAAGTCCATAGAATACACAAAAAATATATTATTATTAAAAATGAATTGAAATTTCTGTATCTTTTAAAACAATATTATGTATATAGTAGTAGTAATCGATTAGTCAATACAAGATGATACAATAACACTATAGATTTTACAACGTAGTAAATGAAAGAAAATCAGAAAATTAATTAATTAATGCACTTTTTTACATTTTTTGCAGAAAATATAGGTAGGAATCCTCAATATTAGCTTGAGTAATTTGGTCTTGGTCTACCCTGATGATGTCCCACTAGACCTGTTAGAGAGCGTTACACATGACCTTTAAAAAGGCCAATCCTTAATGAAGACATTTAGTGAGAGAAACATTTGGAGATGTGCAAATGGGCTTATAGCTGCGAGCTGCGTTCGATATAGTATGTCTTTACCTAGAAACTTTCTCAAATAAAACTTATAATGCGGTAATACTCATTATGTTCTCATTGGGGCTGAAAGGCCTTATTTCATCAATATTAGGCTTTATATTTACACACAGTATAATGCAGTTAAAGGTATATAAGAGGATTTAATACGTCCGGGTGGATCATCAAGACCAATTGTTAATCGGGCGGCACGGTGGCTGAGTGGATAGAATCCCGGTCGGACCAGGGCCTTTCTGAGTGGAGTTTGCATGTTCTCCCCGTGTCTGCGTAGGTTTCCTCCGGGTACTCCGGTTTCCCCTACCACTAAAAATATGTACATTAGGTCTGGCATGCGCCTCCTGTTCGGCGACCCCGCTCCCATCTCTGTGTGGAGTGAGAGGACAAGTGCCCATAAAATAACAATTGTAAACCGCTTTGTGACTCTGGTCTGTGAAAGGCGGTATATAAATAAAACTTACTTACTTACTTACTTAATCATTCTGCTGACACATGCTTTTCAAAAAAGTGCAGAGAGCGGTTCTTTTTCTAAAATTTTGGAAAATCTTAAGTAAAAATAATTCACTTTTTCCACTTAACTCTGTCATGTTTGTTTCAATTTTAAGTAAGTAAGTAATGTTTATTTATATAGCGCATTTTATAGACCAAGGTCACCCAAAGCACTTTACAATTGTTCAGAGTTCAGATAGTTTTTCATTCTCTCCACCCATGGTGATGATAGAATTGAGGTTTTGATGTTGGATTAAGTAAGAGTAACTATAGATTGATTGATAGATTTACCTTATCCCTGATATTCAACATGTCAGTTATGTGGAAAACGTTGCTTATTTTCACTTAACTATTCTAATGAAAGTTAAGTAAAAATAACTTACATTAGAATAGTGTACGGCACGGAACAGGGCATTTCTGAGTGGAGTTTGCATGTTCTCCCCGTGTCTGCGTAGGTTTGGCTACAATCCGGAGTGATGTGTTCATTAACATGTACTGTCCCAACCAAATAAACAATAAATAAATACATAAATCCATCACTTTTTAGATTGTATATTGTACATAGAAATATATTCATTTTAGATTCAATTCACACCTGCAGACTGGACGTTTCTCTCTGGAAGTCTCTCAGTGGGACTTGAGTGGGACTATTCTCAGTGGGGGAAAAAAAATGGAATAATTGTATATATATTGTAACCTATAATTATTAGAAGTATGTACAAACAGCAACACTGTGATTATGTTTTAACTGTATTAATGTTAGAGAGTTAATCCGATACCTTGCATGCATTGATAAAACATATTCTCTTCGTGGACACTGGACAATAATAATATCTGCAAAAAATCTGTAAAGACCATATAGAATAGACATCTTCTCCTCTTTTCTTTTATGAACTGCTTAAAAATAGATTTCTTTGGATGTTGTCAGTGCCGTTTGTACTGCCAGAAGTGTGGACAGCTTTTGAAATCACATCCAGCTAATTATCGTCTGCAGCTCTGTGTTTCCGGAGAAGACTTTGCAGACATCACACAAATAGAGTTAATGCAACATTCTTCATTTACTTTGTTAGTATTGTATCGCTCCACCAATGCAGTATCAAAAGTTTGGGATAAGTATGCGTGTATTAATTACCGACGGTACTGGCTCATGTTTTGACTTTGGTTGTATTTTTTGTTTCAAGATGGGGTGAAAGGTGAAGGTTTTTGGAACAATTACGACACATTTTTGCAGTTTGGTTTCTATGAGAGAATATATGTATAACTGGGACTCATGCAGGATTATGTTTAAATGTTAGAGATTTTTTCTGTCCGTTCAGGGAGATCTGTTCAGAGTAGATTTAGCAATGAAATATTTCAAAGCCTTCTGCGTCTCTTGGATATGGGTCAAATCGATACATTTTATGACACTGGTTTGAAACGGATTACATGGTGAAAAAGGTTTTTGGAAAATAAACGCTGCTTTTTAAATCTGAGAGTGAGATTTTCATTCTCTGGTGCATGTGAAAAAGTGCTAAATAAAAAAATGCAACTATAGATAATTAAAACACATTCACAGGGACTGGGACTGACACTTTTAAGTTCATTGTTTTTTTTTTTTCACACACAAAAATACCCTTTTGACCTCAATAACTTCAACACATGCTATTTGAACCCTATACTGATATATATAGTATAGTACAGACAAAACTGAAATCCATAGATGAACTTTACAACAATGTATCTCTATGTATCTTCGGACGTTCAAATATTCAATTTCCGGTGTTGATTATGTGGAGCTCATTAGAAGTTGTGCGTTTGTGAGTGTATTTCTTTGAAGCCTTGTGACCTGCCTAATGCCTCCATAAGAAAATAAGCACAGCAGGCTTGCCTCTGCATTAACTTTGCACAGAGTAGGGCTCAAATTGGCCGACCTCATTAGCTTTTAATAAGACCTAATGCAAATGGGAATACATGTTAGCTTCAAATTTCCTGAGCTAACGCTAATCTCTTCAATCCTTTAATCTCATCACTTCACCAGTTACATCAGACACTACATCCTCAAACAAGCTGGAAAACTGTCAGGAGTCGTGGCGTCTGGCCTCTGCTTTTGTCTCCTTTTGTCCTACTGCCATAAGAGATCAAATGTAACCATGGCTTTGAAGAGAAGTGATCAAATTAAAATTCCGCTGTAAAATAGCTAAGAAAAATAAACATGTGCTTGTAGTAAGAAGTCTTGATTTTATATTTTTGAAACTTTAATTAAAGATTATCAGTAATAAACGTATAGCTTTATGAGTGCAAACCTAAAGAGGTATTATGCACTTGTTTGTTTCTATGACAACAACAATGAATACCCATGAGTCTGGACACACCCCCACACACGACTTTGAGGGGGTTTCTCTCCCAGTGCAGGTTTTTGTGGCTGACTGTAAACACTCAGAGAGCTCCAGTTTGATAGTAACGTCCGGTAGCATCTATCAAGGGTTTGGGGAAAAATCCTTGATCACCCAAAATCCTTGAAATTGTTGGTAACGCTTTACGATAAGCAGACATGCACAAATGTATTCATTCTGCATTAATTCAGCTTGAATGAACTCAAGTCATGAATCATTTGCATCGACTCATGATGAATTCATGTATAAATGATCAAAAATGTGAATCATGAATGAACTCATCATGAACCAATGGATGATTTCACGTGGGGTGAATATGAAGTGTTTCCACATGGATCATGTGAGGTTAGGATTATGTCTTCTACCCAAATGTTCTAATGTCTGCATAAGGACTCAACAAGCACAATGCATTAAATCATAGCGCTGCACTTCTCCCAGTTGTTTAATCCACATTTATCATCTTCAAAACCCTCACACACTCATGACATACGACAAAACATATGTTGTTCTCTTCACTCTCAATAAAGGAAAGGGACTATACTTTATGAGCCAATGTCTAACAACATTCAATCAATACTCACACTATTTAGCAACTTAATTAAGAAATCTTCTGTATGATAGATATTTGAAAGTACCTTTACACATAATGCCGACTCAGTTACTATGGTGACTCGTTAGGCGTGACATGGAACTTGAACATGTACTTTGAACTGAGTATATCAACAGCAGTTTGCGCTGTAATCCTCACTGACCATGGTATCTAGTTTTTACTTTTTTATAACTGGTTTGCAACATGAGCCAAGTCAAATTCAAATGTTGTAACATCCTTTTGGTTACAACAGCAATGAAAAGAATGTTGATATAAATAATAGTATTTAATTCACAAAGTATTACATCTGATGCCACGTTAACCGAGCACACATACAATTAAAAAACCCTTTACATGTAACATTTCAAAATGAAGACAACCATTTCACATATCATGATTGGCCTAAAAGGTGTCTCTTGTGTGCTTTTTGTGAATAATTAAAGTGTTATTTTAAATTTGAAGTGCCTGCATTTGATAGAAACTCCAGCTGAAATGACATAATAATAATTCAAATGAATCAAATCTTTCTTTTGGCTAATTGTAGTTCTTGCAATTACTGTCTGGCTCTTTGTTTAGTTGGTTTAAGTGAAAAGTAAAGGACATGCCCCTGATCACACATCCAAATGATACTCATTCACTTTTCAAACCGTTTTCATTTATTTTGATATTAGACACATTGAAATGGGCTTTTATCAAAAACGATTTAAATATATCATAAAAGAAGCAAAGAGTTGTGCCATTGTATGAAAAATATGATTATAAAATGTTGTGATGTTTGGTTTGAAAAATAATATATTGGCAACACTATTATTGGCACACCGAGAGACAGCTTTAGGTCTATACCACACCAGAAATTCTTACATTT